TGCAGCCCCTTGTCAGGCTTCCTCAGCCCCCGTCATCTGCCCATCTCCGGTGGATACCACCACCACTTTTCCATAGACGGAATTCCCAGAAAACAGGTCTTGTTCTCGCTTCTAGTCCAATTCTCCCCAGAAAAGGTCACATTTCTGACAAGACTCATTTCTGAAAGGCCCCTATGCGGCTGTCAACTGCCAGTTTGTCCTGGGGCCCCAGATACTTCTTCCACTGTGTATGCCTCAGACATGCATTTCCCGGCTCTCTCCCAGTGGCTCTCAGTAGGTTCCTTCAATTGGCAGGCACTGGTGCAAGGCTGGAGGACAGGAAGAAGGAAGAACTCGAGTAATTGTTTTTCTTCCTGCTTCTTGCAACATTTTCTGCTAATGGCTTTGTCTTCTCTGTGGTTCCAGCTCCACACCCCCCTTACCTTCTTCTCAGATACCCCAGCAACATCACCCAGGACGGCTGCCGGTTCTAACTTCCACCAGTGGGCCCAGCACCTGGGCACCAGCAATATCACCTCTTCCCTCTGTCCCTGCAACCGTAGGAGTGCTAACAGCTTCTTGCAACTCTTAACCTCTGCATTATTTTCTCAACAAACATTCAACCTTTTTTTTTTTTTTTTTTTTTTTTTAGCTTTTCTACACCTACGGAAATAATCCCTATGCTATATCCCTGTGTTAAAATACCTAGAAGGATTTTTTGTTTTCCTAGCTGGAATGTGATTGAGAGGTGCAGCCACCAATCATTTCATCCTATTTTGCTTCCTTAAAAGCATTTATTGCTACCTAAAAATGTCCTGTGTGTATGTTTTGTTTACTTTTCTATCAACCATCAATCCCCCAAAAATGTCCTGAAAGGAAACATTTTTGGTATTTAGGTCACTGTTGCATCCCAATGCCTAGTGGGAGGTATTATATCTGTGCCAAATGAATAAAAGTCTGTGCATCAGCTAAGATGGCCTCTAATTAAAACATGAAAGAAGGTGGATCAAAGGGTGGACGGTGGACCACATGGATAGGTATGTTGTAAGCAAACATGGTAAAATATTAACTGCTGAATCTAGGAGCTGGTATTTGGAGGTTCAACGAGCAATCCTAGCAGCTCTGTCACTACCTAAATAGGAGGCAGCTGGTGCCCTGAGAAGCTGAGACTCCTGGGCTGGAGCCCCGGGCCTGCGTGAGCCCACGGTAGGTACTGAGAGAAGCCACCTGAGAAGCTGAGACCCCTGGGCTGGAGCCCCGGGTCTGCGTGAGCCCACGGTAGGTACTGAGAAAAGTCACATAACCCTTCTGAGGTTCAATTTGTTTTCTCTGTGTTAAATGGGATTTCATATTCTCTCCACTCATCAGGAACACTCTATGAGACAACTTAAATGTGTCCTTAACCTTTGACTTCATTTTGATGGGACCATGCATGGAGTTCATTTGCTCTGGACTTCTCACTAACAAGACTGATCTTCTCCTTTGCCATTATGTATATCAGTAAGGATTCTTTTAGTTGCATTTAAATGCAAAGCACACAGTCACTGCTGGAAAGGCTAGGAGTAGACTGGCTTCAGGCTCAGGTGGATTCAGGGGCAAACATTGGCACCAAGATGTCTTTTCATTCGTTTCTCAGTCCTGCTTTCCGTGGTGCGGCTTTTTGCTGAAGCTCCACATGGTGACAAGAACATCATCTCGTACACAACAGCGTTCAGTCCATCAAGAACTGCTTAGGGTTCCTTTTCCACAAGTCACAGCAGCAGAAGAAAGAAGCCATGCCGCGTGTTACTGTCCCCAGTGTGTCAGTGCTGTCCCTAACCCTATCTCTGTGGCCTGGGGGAAGAATGTATTGAGCATTCCAGCCTGTGCCAGGAAGCCTCCTACTGAGGCCTAAAAAAACTCGGTTTTTCCTGAAGTACAAAGCTGGAAAGTAAAGTACTGGTGGTGTCTTTCCATAGCATTCTTAGATGCTGTGGGAAAACAGGACAGGAAGGGCAAAGGAATGCTAAGCAGAAAAAAATCAACAATTGTTCATTCTCAAACACAAACAAAATAGAAAATAACAATATAATATGACTTATTCAACTGAGCCATCTCGTTAAAAAAGAGAAACCAAGGGTGACTGCAGAGTGTGCCAGATATTTAAGCAGTTATTCTGGAGAAAAAAGTTACTACTGGAATTGACTCTTTATTTTTTTTTAACATTGTTAAGATTAGACCATCTGAACCCAGTGCCACGAACGATCTCATAGATATACTTTATGACATTGAGTCTTCAGTAATAAACTCAATAGGCAAGGACAAAATCGGACATATATGCACGTTAATCCCCCACAAATATGATGTTGACACTTTCACCAATTTCCTCCAGAAGCTTAGGCTAGAGATCCAAAATAGACCCCCTGCTAGTTGCAACCAGAAGACATTTTTCTTCTCATCCAATACAATTTTTAGCATCTAATTAGTTATCAATCTTTTAAAAATGAAATTATGCAGCCATTAAAAAGGATGAGTTTGTGTCCTTTGTAGGGACATGGATGAATCTGGAAACCATCATGTTCAGCAAACTGACACAAGAACAGAAAATCAAACACCACATGTTCTCACTCACAGGCGGGTGTTGAACAATGAGAACACATGGACACAGGGAGGGGAGCATCACACACTGGGGTCTGTGGGGTGGAACTAGGGGAGGGACAGCAGGGGGTGGGGAGGCTGGGGAGGGATAACATGGGAAGAAATGCCAGATATAGGTGATGGGGGGATGGAGGCAGCAAGCCACATTGCCATGTATGTACCTATGCAAGAATCCTGCATGATCTGCACATGTATTCCAGAACCTAAAGTACAATTTGAAAAAATGAAATTAGCACTGAAAATCACATAACAAATTCAGATCTCTGGATTTTATTTAAAAATGTAAAAACATCTGGAAACTGGGACATGAATTTCTCCTGGCAGTAATCGGATGGCCCTCGGTTGCTGCTGAGCCTGTTACATGGGGCCTCTGTCTTAAGGTTTACCACAGTCCCCACCATTCCCTCCTGCCCCATGCCTAGACTGCTTTGCTCATTCATGTCCCCTGCGTGGCCTTCCTGCCACCCCTTGAGGGAGCTGTGTGAGAACAAGGCTGACACTGGGAAAAGCAGCACTGGAGATTGGGACAGAATCCCCACTATATGTTTGAATCCCAGGACCCAGGATGCGTTTATAATCCTGATCAAGGCATTGTCACCTCATCAATACAGTAATTTAATTTATTTATTGAAAAAAAAGGTAAAATACAAGTCATCCAGGGTAACTTGGGGAAGCCAGTTTCTTGTAAGGAATGGCTCACAAAAACTAGAAAGACAGAACCATCATGTTGCTTTTTTCTTGTGGAAAGACCTCTGCTCTGGACTGAACCGTGTCCCCAAAATTCGTATGTTGAAACCGTAACATCCAGTCTGGCTGAATTTGGAGTAAGGGAGTAATTAAGGATAGATAAGTAGGTGACAGTGATGGAGCCCTTGTCTGGTCTGATAGGATCCTTACAAGGAGAGAGAACAGATGCTCACTATTTCTCTCTGCTACATGAAGACACTCTAAGAAGGTGATTGCGAGCTGGGAAGAAATCCCTGGAACTAATCAGCAGGCACTTTGCTCTTGGGCTTCCTATATCCAGAACTGTGAGAAAATGAAATTTAAGCCAACCAGTCTATAGTATTTTATGGCAGTGCTGGAAGACTCATCCAACTACCTTAAGATTTTAAAATTAAGACTTTAAAAATGACCATAATACTTGTTTATGTATTTTTTTTTTTTGAGACGGAATTTGGCTCTGTTGCCCTGCCTGGAGTGCAGAGGCACGATCTCAGCTCACTGCAACCTCCACCTCCCAGGTTCAAGCGATTCTGCTGCCTCAGCCTCCTGAGTAGCTGCGACTATAGGCACATGCCACCATGCCTGGCTAAGTTTTGTATTTTTAGTAGAGAGGGGGTTTCAACGTATTGGCCAGGCTGGTCTTGAACTCCTGATCTTGTAAGCTGCCTGCCTCAGGCTTCCAAAGTGCTAGGATTACATTGTTTATGTATTAATGGATGCTTCACAAGAGTTGAAAAAGTGTCAGCTCAGGAGCTCAACTGTCACTCCTGCCACCTTTTTCACGGTATTGTATTGCTGTTATATTATGTTTAACTTATGGTACAAAAAACAGATGTATCATTTCTATCAGAACTACTTATGTAAAGGTCCCTATTACACATATGACACAGCCAATACATATCCAAAGTGGAAGACACAGTTTTATCCCTGGGAATGAATAATTTAGTTGGGAAGAGAAGATGTATGCTCACAACAAACACTGATGCATGAATGAAAATACATAATACAGTGCTAAAAGTGCTCAGTAGTTTTAACTATTGTCAGAGTTTAAAAAAGAAAAGATCAATGAGTTTGAAATAATGACAATTATGTAATGAAATTAATCTTAACTGTTACTTGCTAACTATACATCAAGCGTGAGTTAAGTACTTCACAACTACCAAGATAAGAGGTTAAGAAGTTTGCCCACTGGCACAAAACTAACAACAGGTGAGTTAGAATTTGAACTCGGGCTCCAGAGGCTGTGCCCAGATGAACTGTTTCCATCTTGGTACTTTAACTAGCTGCAGGCTGTATGCAAGTTTCCCTTGGAACTGATGGCTGGTGAAAGTCACAGGCTCTGTCATGTCCTTTTCTTGGGTCCCCCAGTAGACAGTCCTGGTTAGTACCCAAAGCAGGCATCATCATTGTTTTAATTAATAATATGTCATGAAATTTCCATGGATTAAAACCTATAAAGAGGAACTCAATGTAATCCCAGCTACTCAGGAGGCTGAGGCAGAGAATTGCTTGAACCCGGGAGGTGGGGGTTACAGTGAGCCGAGATCATGCCACTGCACTCCAGCCTGGGCTACATAGCAAGACTCCATCTCAAGAAAAAACAGAAACACAAGGAAAAAGAACATACAAGATTTGTTATCCCACAAACTTTGGAAATCTCCAACCCAAAGTCACAATAAGAACAGTTTGAACAAGCACCTTGGAGGGAACGGAAAGACAAAAACTCTATCCCTTACTCCCCAAACCCAGCCAAGGACTTACTTTGTGCCAGATCTTAACTACTTGCTGAGGATGTGGAAATGTACAAGGCATGACTTCTGGTCAGCAGATGTGGTGGAGAGGACAAACCCAAAAATCAAATGCCGTGTGTAATGCACTGTAGCGTATACATGTGTACATTGCGTGTGGAAAGTCAGCCTGGGAGGGAAGAACCTCCATCCTTTCTCTGAAAAAGCACACATCTGAGCTGGTTTTGAAGGATTAGAAGAAGTGAATGGGAAACGCATGAGTGTCTGTTGAGGACAGACAGATAAACTCTACATGTAGGGGTATGGAGAGCCAAAAGATTAGTATCAAGCAAAAGCAAATTACTGTTTATGGAGAACAGAGTTACAACAATACCAGAGTCTGGCATCTGGTGGTTCTTCCTGTCCGATACCCACACTTCTCTCTGAAAAACATTCTGATTGTCCCTTAGGCCCCACTCTTTTCTCATTTTCGGTCCCTGTGGTCTGGGTGTGATGAACCCCACCCCAACCCTAGTTCCAAGAGTTGTCATGATGCCTGCAGTCATGACCTCACAGCATTCCATGCACCTGGAGCCTGGATACAGTGATGCCTTCAGGCGCGGTATGCCATCACAGGCAACTCAGGAACACCTCTCCAGCCCCAGGACTTCTGCTGGAACTGCTGGGAGTTAGAAGGTTTCTTCCCATGGAGGGGCAAACTTTCTAGGTATCTGAAGATGTTGAAGACCATTTCCTGGAACCACAGCGGTAAGTATCCAGAGGATGAGAAGGCATAGCCTCTAGGAGAGTCTGAGAGTTCAGTATGATTGAAAGATTAAGTTCAGGAGAAGGGACGAGCTGCAAATCACAAGCTGGAGAGTTTTAGGTAAGAGCCATATCACAAAAAGTCATTAAGCATTTTAAAATGCTTAGCCTTTAACCGAAGAGTAATGGAAAGGCACTGACATGACCTAATCACAAATGAGAAGATTTGAGTACATATTATCTCTCTACAACGATGGAGAATAGACTGGAAGCAGGCAGGGACAAGGACAGGAAACCCTGCGAGGGCCGGCTAGATTGACTCTGTAAGAAAAGCCATGAAGATAGAAAGAAGCAGATGGTTGCCAAAGATACTTGTGAAATACGAAGGTACTATATCAAACTACACATGGATCTGAATCTCAGAAAAGAGCTCCGAGCTAGGGAGAGAGATTTAGAAGCCTTCAGCAGAAAGAGGATAATTTAAGCCTCAGGAGTAGATGAAATTACCCAGAGAACGTGCGTAACGAGAAGAGAACCTGGAACAAAAGGGGCCAACTTTTAGGATCTGTCAGACAACAAGGAGCTCAAGACTGAGAAGTGCTAGTCCAGACTGCACCATTTTGTAAGCTCCCTGCCATTTTTCAGACCTTGGTCAAAGTGAAACCTTCCACGAGTGTTCGTTCGGACTATGAGAATCTGCCAGCCCAATAGCCTGACTTTATCACATCTGCTAAGAAAAGGTCCAAGGAACATCACTATCCCATTCTGCGGGAACAAGGCCCACACTGCCTCATTACGGGAACGTCTTATCAACATCGTCCCTGTCAGTAAGCCACACTGCTCAGACCCTCCTGCCCATGCCAGTAAGCGGCGGTGGGCACTGGCATTAAGCTGGTCCTCCACCTCCGCAGTTCGTGCTGGACATAAATGCCTGGATTTGCTGTCGAGCCGCCCTCTCTCTCTCTCTCTCTCTCTCTGTGTGTCTTTAACCCTCGCTTTCCCTTTGAAACCTAACAAGAAGCAGGAGCCAGGAAGGCAGGAGGGAGTCAGAAGTCCATCCTGTTAAGAACAGCCAAAGGAATAGTGTACAGTGATTTTCAAAGCGAGTTCCAGAAACTCTTGGAGCTCCCACGACCCTTGTAGGAGGTCCACACCAGCCAAAATATCTCTATATGGGTACTAAGGTGTTTTTTGTCGATTTCATTCTCATGATCACATGAATGCAGAATGGAGGTTACCAAAGGCTCCTGGAAAGCTGAGATTGCAAAGACTGGAGAAAAACATTTGCAATTACTCTCTTTTAATTTTTAAAAAACATCAATGTTTATAAGCAAAATTGCTTTTGCAGTGGGGTGGTTCTCAACCATGTAAGGTTAAACAAAACCTGTGATCGAAGTGTGAGAAGTGCAGCCATAGAGAGCTTCACAGAGGGCATCAGTATTAATGTCAAACGTTACTGTAAGCCTCAAGGGAACTAACCAATCAGAAGCAGCCATCGACTTTAACAGTGGACTCGACTCGCTTGTGAGAGCAGTTCAGTGTTGCGGCAGCAGAGACATGGCACAGTGGCTGAGAGTGAGCAGGAGCTGTGGACGTCGAATAATGAATGAAGGAACCATTCTTTCTGTGAGTATCCAGACCAACTCATGGTAGCACAAACCCATTTCCTCTTCTACTGCCCTTGGTAGAAAAGGAATGGCTACCACCAAGGCCATTAACTGGACGTTTCTGCACCACTGGGAGCTGAGTGCCATGAGGTCTTTAGTTCTATTCAGCCACCCCCTTTCCAAAGCCTAAACCTGAAGCACCTCGGCGAATGGCCATGAAGAGGTTTGTCACATGGGTAGTCATGGCAACGGTATGTCAGCCTGTGCTCTGTTTTCAGCCTTTTGTTGTTAACAGGACAATAAGGAGGGCAGGGAGGCTCTTCTGCGGAATCTTAAATGGAGTTTGCTGAAGCAAAGTCCAAAACACAAGAAAACATCTGAGTGATCTTGATTTGCTTAAGCAAATTAACATTCTCTGTGTCTCTCCCTTTGGACTTAATCTTTGACCAGGCCAACGGTGGTTGTCCGTGCAGAAAAGGATGTAGAGGCCTGAGGCTGCTGTCCGTAGAAAGGTCTGCTTCTAAGGTGGTCCTGTGCCTGCTCTCTGGAAGCTTGGATTTTGTGAGAGTTTAGCAGTCCCTAACTGAGAAGAGTGGTACACTGTGATAAAACTCTTCGTACAAAAAACAGTTTATGCTGAACATTTGCTTTCTTTTTAGGAGTTTTGGATTTGGGTAATGATAGGCAGAAAGTACCTAGGCAACCAGGCCTCAGCAAAGACCCTGGGTGCTGCATTTCTTTCCTTCCTTCCTTCCTCCCTCCCTCCCTCCTTTCTTTCTCTCTCTCTCTCTCTCTCTCTCTTTCTTTCTCTTCTTTCTTGTCAGAGTCTCGCTCTGCCACCCAGACTAGAGTCCAGTGGCACAATCTTGGCTCACTGCTACATTCGCCTCCCAGTTCAAGTGATTCTCCTGCCTGAGCCTCCGCAGTAGCTGGGATTGCAGGCACCTATCACCACGCCTGCCTAATTTTTTTTTTTTTTCTTAGAGACAGGGTTTTGCCCTGTTGGCCAGGCTGGTCTCAAACTCCTGATCTCAGGTGATCCACCCGCCTTGGGTTCCCAAAATGCTAGGATTACAGGCGTGAGCCACTGCGCCTGGTCTGGTGATGCATTTCTTTTTCTTTTTCTTTTTTTTAAATTTATTTTATTGCATTTTAGGTTTGGGGGTATATGTGAAGGACATGCAAGATTGTTGCATAGGTACACACATGGCAGTGTGATTTGCTGCCTTCCTCCCCTTCACCCATATTTGGCATTTATCCCCATGGTATCTCTCCCCAACTCCCCACCCCCCACTGTCCCTCCCCTATTTTCCCCCAACAGACTCCACTGTGTAGTGCTCCTCTCCCTGTGTCCATGTGTTCTCATTGTTCAACACCCACCTATGAGTGAGAACACACGGTGTTTGATCTTCTGCTCTTGTGTCAGTTTGCTGAGAATGATCGTTTCCAGGTTCATCCATGTCCCTACAAAGGACACGAACTCATCGTTTTTGATGGCTGCATAATATTCCATGGTGTATATGTGCCACATTTTCCCTGTCCAGTGATGCATTTCTAATGTGCTTCCCTGATCAACATTTTGCAATGCTGTTACCATAGGATGCAAAAGCTGGCACCTCACGGACGACTGCAGTGGGCAGGGATTCCTGGAAGCTTGTGCTCTGCGACCTATAGACTTTGCTATGTGAGCCTTTTCCCTTTGCTGATTTCGCTTTACGTCTTTTGTCGTGATAATTCTCAGCTGCAAGTAAGCCTGTGTACTGAATCCCTTGAGTTCTTACAGAGAGTAAGTGAATCTGAGGGTAGTTTGGGGGACCCTGCAACACAGTTTATCACCAAGTATAGGCCAATGCAAGAGTGACCTTCAGAACATGTGCAAGAGCTACCAGAGGAGTATTTCTTACACTCAGTGGATTCTGTAAGGGTATGAGGACTGGGGATGTCAAAGCCGTGCTGCCACCACCAGTGAGGAGCCCAGAGGTACCAGGTGTCCTGTTCTGGGAGGTGTCCTGAAGCTGGGAGAGGAAAGCAACACCACGGGAACCACTGTGAAAGGACATTCCTGTACCTGCACAGCGCCCATTACACGAGGCGTTCAGAAAAACAGTCCATGGAGGCCCATGAAGTCTCATGTCTTAGGTTTTTTTTTAAAAAAAGTTTCTGGCCAGGCATGGTGGTTCATCTCTGTAATCCCAGCACTTTGGAGGCTGAAGGTTTTGGATCACATTTGGTCAGGAGTTCAAGACCAGCCTGGCAAACATGGTGAAACCCCATCTCTACTAACAATAAAAAAATTAGTCAGGTGTGGTGGCACATGCCTGTAATCCCAGCTACTCGTGAGGCTGCGGCAGGGGAATCACTTGAACCTGGGAGACTGAGGTTACAGTGGGCTGTGATCGTGCCGTTGCACTCTAGCCTGGGTGACAAAGGAAGATTCAGTCTCAAGAAAAAAATTAAACAAACAACAACAACAAAACCTCTACCTTCAAAGAGGGAAGGATACACCATGGAGTCTCAAATCCTTAAAAAGTGAAGAAGAAAAGTGATGAACATATTCTTATTTTATAAAAATTGACCAACCACAGACAAGATAATGAAGACATCTGTCTTTCTCAAATTCTTTTGTAAAGACTGGAATAGCTAGTCAATAACTTTCCAGTGACAAAATGGGTTACACCAATAGTCCTACCATTCATTTCATACTTTTTATGTGGATAATACTTTGACACATAAATTATTGTAACTTCTCCAGTTTTGCCAGAGATCCTGAATCCACTTAGTCACCCCACTCTGAATTCCTTCCTGTACCCAAAGACAGAAATGAAAGAACCTGGCTCATTAATTTGAAAAATTAAACAAACCTAATCCTTTTCCTAGCTGAGTTTTCCATAAAATTCCTCAACAGAATCTGTCCTCCATGCTATCCTACCCCAAAAGCTAAGGTAAAACTAGTAAGAGCTGTCTCTTTCAAGGACACAGTCAATCCTTATTACAACATTCTACTTCCTTATCTCTGATGACTACGACAATCTTTACGGTAGAAAACACTTAAATTTCCTCAGCAATAATAAGAATGCATCTTATGAGACCATGTAAAGGTTACTAGTAGCTCCAATCTAATCAATATAAATTTGAATTGGGCCGGCCACTCATCACTCCTATATACGCATGTACACACACACACAAACACACACACATGCACACACATAAAGTCAATATTCATCATTGACAGATTCTGTATTTGCAAATTTGCCCCCTCACTCACCCTTATTTTTAATCCCAAAATCAATACTCGTGGAACATCTAAGGTCATTTTTGTACATGGGCAGAGAAGCAAAAAATGTGAATCATCCAACCTGAGGTCCAAAAAGGCAGCACTCTCCACTCCGGTCCAGCTCTGTAAGCAAGGGTCCTTCTGTGGTCTACTCAGTTCCATGCTTTTCCTATTTTTGTTTATTTTGAGAGTATTTTTGCTGTTTGAAACAGCCTGCAAATTTGGTACTGAAGTGCCATGTAGTTAATTCCTAAGCACAAGGAAGTTGTTGTGTGCCTTATGGAGAAAATATGTGTGTTAGATAAACTTTGCTCAGGCATAAGTTATGCAGTACTGTCATCTGTGAATTCAATGTTATTATTCAATAATTTATATTAAGTAAGGTGTCTTTATACACAAGTACACATAAAGTTATATACTGATCAGTCGATGAAAACTTTGTCAACAAAGACTAAGAGAAACCTATCTCTGCAGTTTCCCTAAAAGCAGTGGTTTGGTATATGTTAATTCATCGGAATATAATAGCTATGAATAATAGAAATTGTGTATATGATATATACACGCATACACACAAATACACACACACGTTTGTGTGTGTGTGTGTAGATTGTCAGAGGGAATTAGAACTATAAATTTGAGAGAAAGAAATTAACCAAATTAAGAATGTTTCTTACTCTGACTTTTTTTTTTTTCACAGAGAGCTTGTGGAATGGAATGACTCTCTAGAGTTGCAGACTGAAGGTGTATTTTCATCTGACTTTGGTGATTGTGTTTCTAATCTCTGTGGGAATAAGGTGTGCTTGGGGTGAGGATGGGCAAATGTAGAACTCGCTAAACTGCCCAGTCACATGGAGTTGCATCTTATTTAAAACTCAGCCATTGCCACCCCCCTCGGGGAATCTCTGACTTCAGTTTGAGTGTTCAGTGAAGCCTTATGAAAAGAGGGCTCAATCTCTAAAGTTTACATCGAAGCTGAATACACCCAGCATCAAATTATTCCCAAAAAAGCCTCTTTAAATCGAAACCTCCCATAAAGATGGTGAAGTTCTGTATTGTGATATAGTTAGCATGGGTGGCTTTTCCTTCAGCACTGTGACAGATTGCTGCTGTTTCTGTTGAGCCCCAGTTGAAGATCTTGAGTTTAAAGCACCAAGTTGTAAAATAGTTACACACACACACACACACACACACACACACACACACACCTCACAGAGCACCTTGCCTCTAAAGACAAGAATGACAAGAGAAAAACCTCAAAGAAAGGAATCCACAGAGTTGCTCTGAGACTCACATGGCCCCACTGGGCACGGACACACTGAGTGGGTACATGGGCTGAGGTGTCTGTGTTTTCGCCATTGTACACCATGGTGTCTCCCACTCTGGGACGGACGCATACACAGCGACTGTGAAAGCTAAATGTGTACAGTCCTAAATCAAGATCAGTTCTGTGGAGGAGAGGATAATTGTAAACTTCTTTATTTGTTGGCTGTAAGTATTTGAATAAGGATATTAGAATGCCCAACATTTTCAGCAACCTGATGTGTAAGATGTCTTCGAGCTTGTCAATAGGAAAGTCCATGATAACAATGACTGTGGAAGAAAGGGCAAGAATGATGAAGGACTCAGCTTCCTGTGCACGTGTGGTGTGCCAGGCGCGGATATGTGAGCTTTCCATTTCTTACTTCACGTACATCTCACCACAATGCTGTCATGTAATCGATTACTGGCCCCATTTTACAGACAAGAAAAATGAGATGCAGAGACATGAAGCCACCCATCCCACAGCGCACAGCAAGGGCATGGTGAAGGCAGAATTTACAGGTGGGCCTTCAGGTTCCAGGACCTATGCTTTTAATAACTCCACGACAACAAACGTCGTGATGATGGCATCGTTTGCAGGAAGAATATCCTGATAATAAAGACAACAAAGGGGGGGCGTAGAGTAAGAAATAAAAATGAAATTGTCAGACCCTCAACTCTGCTAAGAAGCCTATATAAATAGAAAGCTTTGCGAAGCCTGCTCCCACATTTATTGCAGCTGTTATGGCCTAGAGAATGCTTCCTGCTGCATTATTTTCTATATAAATGATGCTTAAGAGTTTGAGTTTTTCGCCGTTTTGGAAATATAATTAAAGCTGTGGACCCTATCCAGAGGAAAAAAATAAACACAATCACAACATTTCAGAAAAAAAAAAATTAAGAGAAAGTTGATGCCGTAATACTTATCAGTGAACTGCAGGAATCTCAGCCTACAGGGTAATTATTTCTGCTCTAAAACTATTCATGATATTTTTCTTTCAGACCTCAATGGCAGGAACACCTTCATGGTCCCTTTATAGCTGGTGTTTTCTTCTCATGGACAATGAGAAACATGTAACAAATTGTGTTTCCTTTTTGCCAGGAAGCTCTGAGTTAAAGCTTTGCTTCCCTCTCAGGAACTATCAAAGAGGCATAAGCCGTACACCCTGGCCCAACATTTTTCTTGGATTTGATTCCCTTTGGATTGTTGTAGCTTTATTTTACATTTGTTACATCTATTTCTCTGCGCTGTCTTATGTATCATCAAATGCTGTTTCAGATGTCAACCATGAACTAAAGTACATCTTGGAATTATTAGAGAAACAGAGGAATATAATTATATAAAGTAACAAATACAAATGCAATGCTGATTTTTTTTTTCCTTAAGAAGTTTTTAACAATTGCTGGGGAGGAATCTGCTTTTCACCGAAGTTTCAATGTTTTCAGGTCCTTTAATACCAGGTGTGAAACTTACTCACTAGGTTGAATTATAGAAAGTTTTACCACTGTCCTCTGCCTCATTTATTCTCACTGTAAATATGAGAATTGAAAGTCTTCCTTATTCTTGCTTTCTGAAGGATTCTATACAAACAGTTGAGGTGCTATTTAGTAAACTACTAGAAACATGGGGAAGTGAACTAAGGAGATATGAGCTATGAAATGATCCGTTTAAAGAAAATACATGGGAAAATCAGGTCTATGTTTCTGACAAGTCAAATGTATAATATATACATATCTACATACACAAATGCATATACATATGCGTGTGTGTGTGTGTGTGTGTGTGTGGCCTTTCTCATCACCTCTATTGTCGCACTCATTCTATTCTATATGAAGGAATCATTTCCTGTTCTCTCCACCATGGCCACCTGGTCCAAGCCACCATCTGCATGCACCTGGATGCCTGCATAATCTCAGCTGACATTTCCCATGTCTATTCTTGTTTCTTTTGAGCCCAGTCTCCTCCCTCGCAGCAGCAGAGTGAGTCTATTAAAAAGTGAAACAGGGGGCAGCAGCAAAGAGAAAACAAAACACACAAGCAAAAAAAAAAAAAGTGAAACAATGTCTCTCATTTCTTGGCTCAAAACTCTCCAATAGTTTCCTGATGGTTTAGAATAAAATGTAAGTTCTTGCCATGGGGTACCACGTAGGTTTAGGTTCAGCTGTAAGTCACAGGGAAAAAAAAATATATATATATATATATATACATATACACACACACACACACATGCCTTAAAAAAATATAAATTAATTTATCTCTTGTGCTCACAAAGTCCAGCAGCCATCAACCAATGCTGGGGCAGCACAGCCACAGTGGAGACCCAGGCTTCATTCCTCTTTCTGTCCACTGTGCAGCTTCCATTTCCAGGGAGCACCTCGTGGTCCGAAATGGCTGCTAGCGTTCCTGTTGTTACTAATGGTTCATTCTTCATCCACAACATAGGTACAAAGAAAGGCAACTTCCTCCACTGAACTTCGCTTCCTGGAATTTATAGGTACCACCCCCTTTTTAATATTAAATCTTAAAACCTAGCTGTGCCAGGTGGTGGGCGCCTGTAATCCCAGCTACTTGGGAGGCTGAGGCAGGAGAATCGCTTGAGTCCAGAAGATGGAGGTTGCAGGAAGCCAAGATTGCACCACTGCACTCCAGCCTGGTTGACAGCGAAAGATTCCATCTTAAATAAATAAATAAACCTTAGAAGCTGGTCACAGAGCCACACCCTGCTGCAGAAGAGGCTGGCAAAGGCAGTCCTTATTCTGGGTGATCAAGTGCCCAGGTAAACATCAGGAGTTTTGCTCCGAGGAAGAGACGGGAGAGTGGGTACTCAGGCCAGCTCCAACCTGGGACATGCTTGGCCTGCCTGGACCACATGGGCAGGACTCTGCCCACCTCCCTGATGCATCCCCCACCCCTTTCCCACCCTCACTCTGCTCCAGCCACATGGCTGTCTCACCCCTGTTCTTCCGTGCACCCAGCTAATTCCAGCCTCTGGGCTAGCTGTTCCCTTGCCCGGACAGCTCCTCCCCAAATATTTTCTGGCCTCTTCCCTCACTTCACTCAAGTGTCTGCTCCCAAGTAAGCCTCCCGGGGGAGATTTCTCTGCTCACTCCATCACCAGTAGCCCCTGTCACTCTGTCTCCTTATCCAGCTTTATTCTGCACCCTGACACTGGAGATCTGTTCTGACATTTCAAAAAGGAAAAAAAAAGAGAAGATATCTGCTACCCCACCCTCGTCTCTGCCTCTCTGGACGCCTTGAAAGAAAATGGCAGTATTTAAAAAACACTATATTTAAAAGTTCAACCTGGCTCCTGAGGGAACCTGAAAACTCAAAGAGAGTGGATATCCCAGAATTTCAGACTGCAGATGACCTTTGGAAAGCAAAAACTTTTTTTTTTTTTTTCTCGCTGAAAATTGGCAGTATATCCTTCCTAGCGATTTTCCAGCTGAGCTGAAGGAGCTTTAGGCAGGAGGCAGCTGGAGAAAAACGTGCTTAGAAGATCTGTGTGTACGTGAGCTAGGGTAGAGCTCTCCGCGTTGAGAGCAGAGACCTGAGAAGGCCCTGGACTGCAAGATAAGTTTAACCAAAAGGCGATCTCGCTGCTTTGCTCAGAGCCCAGCCTTGCGCGCTGTTAGCTCAGGCCCGTGCGGGCAGCAGGCAAATGACATTCTCCTAGCGCTCCGGCCCTCAGGTGCCCTGGAGCCCTGAACAGAGGCGCAGCCGCCTTCCCAGCCTTAGGTGAGACTTCGCACGCTATCCACGCAACCACGCGTGGTACCAGTAACCAGGGCAGAAGGGCGCGTGGGTCGCTCTTCCGGACCTGGAAGCCTCCTCCTCCGCTACTCATGTGGGTCCGCTTGATTCTCCCCGGGCCCTACGTGTGCATGATGATAACGGCGCTGGTTAACAGCTGCTAAGCTTTTCGTGTGCTTCAGGCGCTGTGCTCTGTGCCCAAGGCACCCGCTAAATTCCCTCTGAGATGGAGAAATCCCCGCTGCAGAGATGCGGGAGTGGGGTGAAAGGCCTTCTGGAGAGCCCAGGTCTGTTCTACACTCTTGTACCCACTCCCCAGAGGCCTCCCAACCTCTCCTAGCCATCCTGAAACCACATCGGACTGGATCTCAGGTATCTGTCGAGAGGATCCCACATTTCTGCCAACCTGGGGTGCCCTGCGAGCTTCGCTGTGAACACCTGCTCCCTCGTGGGCGCAGCCTGGCTCTCAGGACCACTGGGTGGAAGGGAAACAGGTGCAGAGGGACCCGCCCCTCGCTGGGATCTTCCCAATCTTAATTTAACTGAACTGGAGTGAGGGAGGCATGGAGCTCCACGGTTGGGAAAAAGGAGTGCAAAGAACCGGGCTCCCCATTCTCACAGTCCCGCCAAGTCCTGGGGAGGGGGAAAGCGGGGGACAGGACCCCTCCGCCACCTCCCCCTGACGCTGCATCTGCACGTGGTCCACGGGAGGTCCAGGTAGGGGATACCGTCCGCGGAGTCTCACGGGGTCCGCCTTTCCAGCGCCCCCGCCGATCCCCGAATAAAGCCCGCGTTCAGGGTGTCCCCTCACCCCGCACCCAGAGAGGCCGTTCCGCAGACTCCCTCTCCGCTCGGCCTCACCTGTGCCGGGGAAGGCGCAAAGCACCGGGCCCAGCGCGCCGCACCTGCCGGGGCCGCGTCCTCCCAGAGCGTCGGGTCCCTGGCGCCCGCGGCCGTTGGTAGCAGGCGGGCTGCGTCTCCTCGGGTCCTCTTCGTCGC